TGTCCTCCTACAGGCGGATTTGGGGCGAGAAATGAAACATGAATCCATATACACATATATATATATATATACACACACATCTATATATATATATATATATATATATATATACACGGCCAAAACTATTCAAACATAGCCAAAAATCGTAGGACATCGTCTCAAGACTATGCTTAACTATTTTTGGATATTCCCCCTGTAGAGGGGCACGTCCGACTTTCTACTAGGGCCAAGGCTGGAAATTCAGAAGCAGCAGTGGGCCCTTCTGTTCCGACGATGTTCCACTGTGGCTGCGGCCACCACGAGGAGATCGGAGGATGCAGGCGGGCTGCGTGGGCTCGGGAGAAGTTCGAAGGTACTGCGGAGCATGCCCCCAATGGCCGGCTGCACGGTTTCCCACGGGGCCGTAGGCGACCCGAGGAGGAGGAGGAGGAGGAGGAGGAGGAGCAGCAGGAGGAGGAGGAGGAGGAGGGAGAGGGGTAGGAGGAGATGGAAGGGGAGGAGGAGATGGAAGAGGAGGAGGAGGAGTGCCGGCTCCTTTTTACATGGCAAGCTCTAGCATGTGTTCGAGGGAGCGGCTTCCAGCTTGCATGCGATGCGTAGCTCGGAGGAGGGAGAGGAGGAGGGAGGAGGAGGAGGAGGAGGAGAGGAGAGGGAGGAGGAGGAGGAGGAGGAGGAGGAAGGAGGAGGGAGGAGGAAGGAGGAGGAGGAGGAGGAGGAGGAGGAGGAGGAGGAGGAGGAGGACGCGTCGCCTAAGCCCTTCGGAGAATCCCTCCATGGCCGGCCTGGCTGAAGCACTCTCGGGGAGAACTCACCGACGAGTCGCCCAAACGGACTGGAGCCTGTCCAAAGAAGGGGGGAAAACAAGAGGCGCTTGGGCACCTTCTGCTCCTGGATGGCCGGCGCGGTCCCAGAGCTCTCTGAGGAGTCTTCCTGGGCCTGATGTGGGCCTCTGGGGGGCCTCCTGGGGCTTCTGGGGGGCCTTTTTGGGGGCTTCTGGGGATCATCCCGGAGCGGAGAGGGCGCGAAATGGCAGTTCGAGTTCCCCTCTTGGGGGCCCTCTTCGGGCCGTCGTGGGGGCGTCTGGGGTCGTGCTGGGACCCTCTTGGGCCGCCTGGGGGCCCTCTGGGGGGGCTCTTTGGGCTGCCTTTAGGCCACCTTGGGGGCCTCTGGGGCCGTCTTTTGCAGCGTCGAGAATCCGCAAAGGCGAGAATGCTGAAACCCTTCAAGACTCCAGGGAACTTTCATGGCTTCGGCTCGGGGCCCTTCTTGGGGGGGGCTCTTGCAGCCCTCTTGGGCCGTCTTGTGACCCTGTGGGGCCGTCTGAATGCCATATACAAGCGGGCTCTTGGACCGTCTGCCGGCGTCTCGGGCCATCTCGGACCGTCTCCGGGCCCTTGTGGGCCGTCTTGGGGCCCGGCGAGGGAAGCCTGGATCGCGCCGGGGTCGACCGGGCCTTGCTAAGAACCTTCTGAAACATTTCCCTTCTGGCACGCGGTTCCCCCGGCGTTGTTAGAGCGCGTTGCTTTATTTTCGGCGATGATGGGCATTATAGGGGGGGGGCAGGGAGGGGGTATAATGTAACGCCTCCCCCCCGCCGTGCGCATGGCGGCAGTGCCTGGAGCGCACTGGGGGGAGGAGGGGCGTTACGTTATACGGGGGGAGGGGGAGTCGGGGGCTATAATGCCCATTATGCCCCAAGCAATAAAGAAACACGCTCTTGGGTAGACTAGTGCGTACCCGTGGCCGCACGGCCGCGAAAGCTGTTCGGAATGGCACGCTGGGCTCTCGTGATGACGCTGGGCCTGAGCTTCGCCTCTGCCGCTGCTGCCTGCAGCTGCGGGTTGGTGCTGCCTACGGCATGTTGCTGCTGATGCCTGCTTTTGCTGTGTGCTGCCGCTGCCTGATGCGGACTACTGCTGTTCACTGTGGCTGCTTGATGCTGCAGATTGCTGGTTCTTGGAACCCTTGCGAGCTGACGCACCCTGAAGCTCGCAAGAGTGATGAGCAAGGAGCAAGGAGTCAGGGTCGATGGGGGAGGAGATTGAAGCGAGAAGCGATTAGCGAGTTACACAGAGCGAGAAGGAAGGAGTGGCGGCCGAGGAGAGAGAGAAGCAAGGAGGGATGAGGGAGAGCCGAGAGAAGGTGGGAGGCATACGCCAGTAGCCAACAGGGAGAAGCGAGGGGCCGGGAGAGAGGTGGGAGGAGCGAGGAAGAGTGAGAAGAGAGGAGCCAGGAGCGAGAAGAGAGAGAGACAGAGAGACGAGCAGCGAGGAGCGAGAAGCGAGGAGCGTGGAGCGAGGAGCGTTGAACGAGAAGGGAGGCATGAGAGGACGCCAACACACGAATACTTCAATAACCTCGGCGCGCGTGTGGCCGAACATATGGTCTCCTCTCGTGTCGCCGATGGGGCTCTCTTGGGTGGTTGGCGCGGCCCCAGAACTCTCGAAGGGATCTTCCCTAGGAAGCCTCGTCGAGGCGGTCTTGGGGGTGTCTTCGGACCTCTCAGTGGCCTCTCGGGGGCCTCCCCGGCCCTCTTGGAGTCTGATCTGGGCCTCTTGGGGGCCTCCTGTGTCTTCTGGGGGGCCTCTGGGGGGCCTGCAGGCCCTGCAGGCAGTTCATCTTGCGGCAGAGGACGCGACATGTCAGTTCGAGTTTCCCCTCATGGGGACAGTAATGGGCCGTTTGGGTGCCCTTTTCGGCCGTCGTGGGGCCCTTTTGGGCCGTCTGGGGGCCCTCTTGGGGCTTGTGGGCCGTCTTGGGCGATGCTGGGGGCCTCTTGGGCCGTCTTGGAGCGTCGGAAGCCTTCAAAGGCGCGAAAATCAAAATCCGTGAAAAACCGTCAGGGAATCAAATCATTGATGCAGCCCAGAGCTCCGAGGACCTGCCCGAAGTGCCCGGGGGGGGGGGGCATTGGCACTGAAGACTTGCCCGCACGCGCAGGCGCCAGCATTGCAGAAATGATGACGCTGGGCTCCAGCCCCGCCTCCCGCATCTCGCAGAGCAGCGACAGAGCCCCCTGCCACTGCTCGCCCTCCCCGCACGCGCTGATCCCAGCGCTATAGCTTACTAGTGTGTACCCGTGCTTGCTGCCACTGGCGGCGCGGGTTGCCGAACCACGGGTGGGTCGTGCCAGAGGGCACGAAGAGGGTCCCAAGAGGGCTCCAAGAGGGCTCGAAGAGGGCCCCAGGACACCGCCGGGCGCGGGCCTACCATTTTGCCACGAGAGGCCTTTCTGTGGCAGAATGCACCCGGCCCTGTCTTGGAGGGGCCCGAAGGCCTCAAGAGGGTCGCACGAGCGCCCCCAAGGGGCCCTAAGAGGGCCCCCAACCGCATGTACTTGATATGCTTCTTGGGCTTGCGAGAAGGGCACCTAAGTACATGTGTCATGGGGCCTTGGCCTGGGCCTTGGCTCTGGCGGCGTCGTCGACGACGACGACGACGGGGGCGACGACGACGCCGGCGACAACGTCGACGACGACGCCGGGAATCGAGTCTTTCAAGTAGGAGTCCGGAAGCAGACCCCGGGGCAGCGAGTCTTTAAGCACCATCGCTGGCGTGGCAATTTTTGCAAAGGATCCTGTGCCGTCGCCAGGGGGGGAAAGCAAACCTTGCTTAGAAATGTTTGTTGGTCGGCTAAGGTGGCCCCGAAGCAGCTCTCTGCTACGTCGTATATCCCTCACACGTCCAGCCGCAGCGGGGGCCTGGGCCTTAGCTCCGGCGGCGTCGTCGACGACGACGACGACGGCGGCGACGACGACGCCGGCGACAACGACGACGACGACGACGACGACGACGACGACGACGACGACGACAGGATGCGAGTCTTTACACTAGGACTCTGCAAGCAGACCCCAGGGCAGCGAGCCTTTCGGCACCATCTTTGTCGTGGTGGCTTTTGCAGAGGATCCTGTGCCGTCGGCAGGGGGGAATACAAACCTTGCTTAGAAATGCTTGTTTTTCGTGCGGTCGGCTTGGGTGGCCTCGAAACAGCTATCTGAAACGTCTTATATGTCTCCCTCATCAAGCCTGGTCTAATTTCGGTTCTTCTGACAGCCGACCCGGACAGCGTACATAGAGGCCTTCTTCGAATTACGGCCAGCATTTTCTCGCCGTCGAAGGCCTCTTCAGGCCGGCTCCGGACCCAGAGGTCATCAAAAACGAAGACGACGACGACGGTTACGACAACGCAGACCACTACTACCACTACCACCGGAGCCGTCCTAGGGGGCTCCGGAGCCGTCTCGAGGCACTCCGGCCGCCTCGGGGCTCTCTGGAAGCCCTCGCAAGCTTTCTCGGGGACCTCTTCCGGCCCTCTCGGGGCTCTCTTGGGAGCCTCGTGGGACTCTCCGGGGCCTCTCTTGGGCCGTCTTGGCGCTCTCGGGGGCCGTCTTCGGGCTGTCTTGAGCCGGCCTGAGGCCGTCTTGGGGGTGTCTGGGTCCGTGTTGGGGCGGACTTGCAGGGATGCGGGGCCGTCCTGGACGCTGTGCACACCCAAAACGCGAGTGAGCCGAAAACGTACATTTTCCCACAGGAATCGGACGATTTTTGCCTCGTGGGGCCTCTCTCGGGGGCCTCTTGGGGCGGCTTGCGGGGATCTTTGGCCGCCTTTGGCCGCCCTGAGGCCGTCTCCAAAGCGAGCGAAGCCGATTTTCGGGAGCGTGGGACCGTCCGCTGAGCCGTCGGGGCACTCCGAAGACTCCGAGGCGGCCCGGATGGTCCCGAGAGTCCCAAGAGCCGGTTCGCTGCCACTCCGGGCCTCTTCCTACGCGCTGAGTCGACCATTGTAGGAGAGATGGCGTTGAGCTCCAACTCTACCACCAACATCTCGCCGAGCAGCGCCAGAGCCCGCTGCCACTGCTCGCCCTTGCCGCACGCGCTAATCCCAGCGCTGTAGCTGAAGACGTTGGGCTTCAGCTTCACCTCCCACATCTCGCTGAACAGCGCCAAGGCGCGCTCCCACTGAATGCCCTTCTCGCATGCGCTGATCCCAGCGCTGTAGCTGATTACGTCGGGCTCCAGCTTCGCCTCCCACAGCTCGCTGAGCAGCGCCAAAGCCTGGTGCCACTGATCGCCCTTCTCGCACGCGCTGATCCCAGCGTTGTAACCGACTAGTGTGCACCCGTGGATCAAATCCGCGGCGTGCTGAACCTGGGACTCGCACATAGTGGATATAATCCACAGAGCTCCTCGTCGAAGCCGAACAGCTCGTCGAAGCTCTGGACCTTTACGAGGCGCCCCAAAAGGTCCCCAACTCCACAGGCATTCCACAGAACAGCGCGTCCCGCCAGAGAGCGGCTCTTGCTGTCAAAAGGAGACTCCCTGGAGGCGAACCTCATTGAGCCCTCTGCCCGCCCAGCCTCTGCCCCCTCTCTTCCTCTCCTCTCCTCCCGTGCCTTGCTGTCAAAAGGAGACTCCCTGAAGGGGAACCTCATTGAGCCCTAGGCCCGCCTAGCCTCTGCCCCCTCTAGTTAATTCCTCTCCTCCCGTGCCCTGGTCCCGTGCCCGTGCCTGCCCTGCGCTGCTCTCACCCGATCCGTCACGTTTCGGCCCGCAGCCGGCCTGAGACTTAGGTCGGGCATGTCCCCCTCCAGGCGGATTTTTTGGCGAAAAGCGAAACACGAAACTACTCCAGAATAGACAAACATACGATTTAAAAAGGAATCGTCCCCGGACTACGCTTTACTATGTTTGAGCATTGCTCCTGTAGAGGGACAGGCCCGACTTAACCTTAGCGCCTTTGTCTGATGGTCCCGGGCGACTGCCGCCGCCCCCCGCAAGACTCGAAGAGAGCTGGCGGCCCGCTCACTCACGGCCAGTGATGGAGAAGAGTGCACGATCGGACTGGCATCGAGAAGCCGTGGCGAGATCGTGGGTGTGGCCGCGTATCGGGGGGAACGAAAGGAGGCGATAGCAAAGGGCAGGGCAGAGCATCGGCTCACGTAGCCGCTTTTCCCAGCGCCTCCCGGCGCCGGGAGGCGCCCACGCATCGAGGAATGGGCCCGGCGGCGGGGCCGAAACCGGCTGCATGCAGCAGATTTCGTAACCCCCCCTTTCCCTTATCCCCCCCCTTCCGTTCGGCCCGAGAGCGCTCACATCGGACCTGAACTTGCGGGCGCGGCCGGGCGGACACCGAGAAGCTGAACGAGCCCAAGATGAACGACCAGCACGACGATCGGGCCGCAGTGGATCGAGATGGGCTGCCCAACGACACCAGGAGAGCCCGGAGGGTGCAGGAGGATAGTCACTCTGGCCGTGGCTGGGCTCGAGGGCAGCGGAGGCGATGAGGAGGCTCGGGAGATCCACCTCGAGAAGAAGAAGCGTAAGCTTCGAGTCAAGCTGCTGGACAAACTACACGGACGAGCCTGGCGACAAGCAGAGCACCTGGCCTCAGACACCGCGGGGCTGAAGGAGCCTGGAGGAGAGAAGAAGATCTTCGAGGCCCTGGCGACGCTTGATAAGGAGGCCATCGCGAAGAAGGGTTTGGCGTTCGACAAGTTCTTCAAGCGGAGCCACCATGAGCGAGGCACCGACATGGACGAGTATTTGGCGAAGAAGGAGAAGCTCTGGAAGGACTTGAAAAACGCGATGGGAACACCACGTTATCGGACGACCTGATGGCGTACTTCCTCCTGGACGGTGCTGGGCTCACGGACGACCGGAAGCAGAACATCGTGCTGAACTGCGGATCGGAACACAACCTCGAGGACTTCCAGCACGCGCTGAGCGTGAATTTCCACGACACGCATGAAAAGGAACGCAACCGACCAGGACAGGGTAAACAGCACGGCAGAAATGGAAGATTCCAGCAGCGAGGTCGTGGTGGAGGGAAGGCGAATCAGGCAGAAGACGACGCAGAGGACGAAGGAGAGATGTCAGATGAGGAGTTCCAGGACCTTGAGGGCGCGAACGCGACAGACGACGACGACGACGACGACGACGACGACGACGACGACGACGACGACGACGACGACGACGACTACGACGACGACGACGACGACGACGACGACAGTACGACGACGACGACGGCGACGACGGCGACGACGACGACGACGACTGCAGCGATGCGGGAGCGTCCTACAGAGCGCACGACGCCACGAGGAAGAAACCAGAGGACGCACAGAATCCGCAAAGGGTTCTTCAAGGGCGAGGTCACGTTCGAGGAGCGTCGGGAGCAGATCGAGGAAGAGACCAGGCGCGCACGAGGTGCCGGGCCTGTGGTCGCGTCGGCCACTGGGCAGGCGACGCGGCCTGCCCGGAGGCAGGGGGACGAGGGGCGAAGAAGCTCGGAGAGAGCAGGTGCATCCTTGGAGGGGAGCGCCGAATCGCATCTCACGCCGGACGGATCGTCAGAGGACGCGCTCGTATCCGAGGCGACGGCCCACGCGGTCCGTGGAGAGGGATTGGACCAAGATGACGGGGTTGGGCCACGACGTGAGAGAGGGGAAGAAGACGAGGACGAACAGGACAGCCTCGCCGAAAACTCCGAGGAGGAGAGTACAGGCAACCCAATACGTCGAGTGCGAGGGCGATCGCGAGGGCGACGGATACCACAAAAGGGACTACGACGCCCCTCGCAAGACGTCTGCTGGTGCCAGGAGCAGCGGGGCAGCATCGCCATCGGAGACGCCGAAGCCATCGGCCACGACGACGAAGACGAAGGGGATCTCCACCGAGGAGCGGAACTTTATGAAGAGGCCCTGGGACACACAAATAAATACACACAAATAAAAAGATCCCCCATATTTTCTCATATTTTCTGTGCTTTTATCTTCCCCCATACTTCCCATATTTTCCCATATTTTAATGTGAGTCGACGATTAATTGTGTCTGTGTGTTTCTTTCCCTCCTGACTTTAGCAGCTGGACGGTGTACCAGCTCAAGGAGCACCTGACCGAGCTCGGCATTCGGGTCAGCGGCAAGAAGGGCATCCTCGTGGAGCACTTCAAGGGTCGCTACGCAGGCCTGGCGCAGCTCGAGAAGGGCTGCGGTATCGCCGGGACGGTTGCCGACAAGCTCGGGAAAGACGCAGAGCTGAAGCTGGGCGAGAACATCAAGTGCGCTGACTGCAGAAGTACGGACATCACGGGGGTGACCAGTGCTGCCCTCGTCACGCAGAGATGGTTGCCTGCCACACCCCGAGCGAGCGCTGCGAGGCGAAGGAGAGAGAAGAGGAGTTCAAGCTGAACAAGCCGAACATCAAGCTGTTCTCAGAGGATCAGAAAAAGCATGAACACACAGTGGATCATCGGCATCAGAAGCATCCACAGCCTGGGAGCTTGTGAACGACGACAACGCGTACATCAGCCAGCTCACGTGCCCAAAGTGCCGCCGCCAAGGCATGCAGGTTAAGACCAACGGCCTCAACGACACACAGTTCTACGGTTGCCTCAACTTCAACACTATCATGAGGCGCGAGGGGACTTACAGCTGGAACGTGGGCCAGCAGGTGTTGCGGGGCGACGGCCAGGATGGCAGCGATTTTCGTCGCTAATCAAGGGCAGGACTTACGACGGAGCTCGACGTCCCTCGGTGGACCCGAGGAGCCTCAAAAGACTACGACGAGGGTAGCCATTTTGGCAGTCCCTAGTGAACGAGCCGCCGAGCTGTTCACCGCGCTCAAGCTCGCCTTGATCGACGCCAAGGGTGCGCCTGGCGACGACTATCGACTGGGAAACTTCGAGGTCGCCTTCGCCGTGGGGTTGATCAACACTCACGACTTGCCCGAGATGAACCACTTTGCATGCACAGGAAGTGCTGGAGAGAGCGTGCTGAGAAGCACCTACCTCCCGGCGTGGCTTGTACGAAGACGGACAGCAGGAGGACGCTCACCGTCGCCGACGGCACTATGCGGACGAGTGACGTCATCGTGATTCCGATCGGCATTGGCGGTTCCAGAGGGGAGGTGCAATCGACTGAGATCCCTGCCGAGACGACACCTCTACTGATCTCCATCCCCGCCATAGACTTGCTGGACGGACACATTCAACCGAAGTCACGAAAATTGGAGTTGGCAGCTTTGGGAATTACAATACCCCTCGTCAAAATGGAGAGGACACCTCCCGTGGGCGGCGACGTTGAACAATTCGGGAACGATGACGAGGCCCAGCTGCAGGTCATGGAGCTCAAGTCCTTAAGAGGAGACGCCTTCGGGCACCTGGCAACCTGGTTGGACATGCGCCTACCTGGAGACGGACATCCGCGACGACAGCGACACGGACGAGAGTCGCCGAAGCAATCAATGCCAGGGCGAAGGCTCGAGTGAACGTCGAAACGCTCGATGCCAGGACGAAGGCTCGAATCACTGCCGAGGGGCACGGGCAGCCGTTTCCTTGGCGGCTTGAGGTGTGTAGACGGATGATGCCCGGGGAGAGCTGACGACCCGACGGACACGGGATCCGACAGCAGACTCGGGACGAATCAGATCTCAGGAGAAGCAGGACTGGGCAGTGCTCCAGAAGGAATACACTCTTGCTTAGAAGATGGCGACCAAGGGCTTCAGGACGAAGATGAGACATTCGAGCCATGGGGAGGAGCGTTTGTTGTGACAAGAGTGGCGTCTGGAATCTTCAAGCGGACCAACTCTCAGCCGCTGCACAAGATAGACGGCTACGACCTGATGTCGAAGGCGGGGCGGGCGATGCTTCACTCTTCAACATTCTGGACCAGAACGACCCTGTGCTCACCGTCCTCGGTTTCGACTATCGTATCTGGCCGGCCATGACGAACTGTGCCCTACAGAGGACTGGGAGAAGCTACGAGAGACACATGGCAGGCAAGTGCTGGAGCTGGTGAACCGAACATGCTGGCACCACAGGAAGAGGGGAACATACGTTCTAGCAAAACAACCCTGGTCATGGGGCTTGGTAGAAGTATAAGGAGATACTGGCGGCGGTCTTCGAGTTGCCAGGCGTTTGGTTTGCCTGTGGAGCAGAGTGCGGGTTCGGCAAGACGGATATCGACAGTAACAGGCCGATCCAGAAGCTGACGGGTTACCTCACGAACAGTTAGTGCGTTCTCAGCAAGCTGGCTACGCCATGCAAGTATACAGTATCTCACGAGGTGGTGGAGATCAGCATCTCAGCATGCAAGCGAGCGACTCAAGCAGCCG